ATTACATTACAAAATATGAGATTTGAACGAACGATGATGATAAAGCGCAATTAAGATAATTTATACATACACGTATATATCACACGTTGTTGAAAAGGAAAAAAATATCGTTTTCAGAATTCTTACACATTTTGTATAATATTCCTATAATTAACAGCGTGATAAAACGGAAAAAATCAAATCGAGCCAATAACGAGTCGCGATCGCAATACCTGTATTTTCCTCTTTTTTTTTATTTTTTACTTTTTTTTTTTTTAATATTTGCACTAGCCAACGGTGTCTATACCCCGTCAGTGTTATTATCGATAAAACGCAATTCACGAAAAACAGAAGCGGAAACAAAAGCGCGGACCGAATATAATAACGTTCGCTCGGATAGAAAAATACTCGTCAACGCGTACTGTCGCCTCGACACTACCTTTCATATCGCTAATTATAACGCGTGTAACCGAGAACAGGAGCCATTTCCCTGGCCAAAGCGAAGCAGATGCAATTTGCCGGTGAAAATTCGTATCAAAGCTGATCCGGTAATTATGCAGGTAATGGCAACCTCTAGCTAATTTTGTACGGCTGCTTGACTACGCGCTTGAATTTATCGCCGTGCCGCGATTCGATCGGGTTCGGTTACACAACGATTCGCGCGATAATGGGTAATTTGTGCTATTCGTTCAGACATGGAGAGACCGAGGTTGGTTGGTTACGTTTGGCGAAATGTGATCGTAGGTAATTAGACTCGAATAATTATACAGGATCTGTTATTTTTCGAGGAGTATTCAACACTGCTTTGTTATTTGAACAGAGGAGGCATCGCGTCTTGTTTGAAAACTTGTGATTAAGGGAACGATGGCAATGATGGATTGCCAGATTTCTTCAGTTTATGAAATATGGCGAGAGAGAAAGAGGAAAATACGATTGAAATCATCGTTTGGATGGATCGTTTCATTTCGTATAAAGTTTGATCGCGAGATATACTTGCGATTCGTTGATTAAATCTAATTACAGAATTTCGCGTTTAATTATATGGAATAGTCAACGTGTGATTCATATTGTATTTGTTCGATCAACCTATCTCCTATTTTAACGTTTCCAATTGCTCTAGCTTGGAAATATCGAACTGAATATTTGCCTTCGAAATAATAAAATACGTTTTAAAAAAATATAGAATAAATCTAGTTGACTTTTGGAGACGAAGTGTGAATAATGGAGTATAAAAAGATACGAATTCTGAGAAAAACAGAGTAAAAACTCACCGTGAAAATAATAGTTCTACCAATATCTTTTTTCCCTCCTTTCCTTTTAAAGAACATAATAAAACGTATAAATACTTTTAGGTTGAAATGACAGGGTTGACAGGGACTATCAAATTCGATCATCAGGGATTCCGCTCAGATTTTATCCTCGACATCATCGAGCTGAATAACAAAGAGGGGTTGAAGAAGATAGGGACTTGGAACAGCACGAAGGGAATAAATTTTACGAGGAGTTACAAGGAGGAGTACACTCAAATCGTGGAGAATCTTCAAAACAAGACTTTTATCGTAACGACTATACTGGTGAGTAATACGAAAATTTAAATCCCGAAAACCCGTCGCGTTTAAAACTCGAATTAATAAATTAATTATAAAATAATTATACGATACGGGAAACCATAATATTCACACGGAATATTCGCATCGCGCGTGTTAATAATTCCGGAATTAAATATTACAGATGACGTACCAGATTTATTATAGAAAAAAAATTCTCATAAATTTTTTCTCCCGCGCCTCGCGTCGGGGCGCAAAAGAAAAATCTAGGTTACACGTAAATCTAGGAGGCTGGAGTAACATTCTCGTTATCTCGCTATCTTTTAAACCGAGATTTCTACATTCATAGCCAAATTAATTACCCATTCGTTAATTAAAAACTTTATTACTTAGATTCATTCCTCCTAGATGTATAGATATAGTAACACCGATATTCTTTCTTCCATAGAATACAAATCCTCGACTCTGCGCTTCCGAGCGACACATTTGAATAAACGCGAATTAACAGAAAAATACATACGCGGTTGGATTTCAGGATTCACGGACAGGAATTCTCAATTTTTCAACCCCCGACATTTCAGCCTCGTTTCAATCAACTAAAGTAATTTTCCTCCAATCTCCCCTGTTTCTCTCCTCCCCTGTCTGTCTCCTCCGCTTTCCAGATCCGGATTTAGAAAAAAAAAAAAAAAAAAATTTTTGTTCTCTTCTTCAACGTGCTTCAACGTGGCGACCGCGTAAATCATTCGCGTATCGTTAAAATCTCGACTATTTGTTTTTCTGGAATGAAAAGGAAACAGGAACAGAGACGAACGAACGCCACCCGGAACCGAGAGTAACTTCCTCTTCCTTTTTCTCGCCAACTCGTTAGCTTTTTCTTCTCTGTCTCTCTCTCTCTCTCTCTTTCTCTCCTCTATTCCTTTCCCCTCTCTCACTCTCCGCTTGCTCTTGTTCTTGCGAAGACGAAGGAGAAACCGAAAAGAGATACGCGATTTAATTGAAGTTTTCACGATGAGTCGGCCGGTTGGCTTTTACTTATTCCCGGGCTAATTGCAACGATGAGTAATGCAGTACTCGCGAATATATTAAACGGGCAGATGTTCCTTTTAGAGGAAGAGCGTTGGGTTAAAGGAAACGTCGAATTTCACGGTGAGCGATGATAAGGGGTGGTCGTTGAGGGTTTAAAGAGGCGAGGACTTAACCTTTAATTACTCGACTCAGTACTTGAACTGATTTGGATCTAATAGAAGTTAGAAATCTAGTTATATTTCTGCGTAGACCGCGATAATAAATTTCGAACGAATAATTATTTTTAGATTCGATGAAAAGCCACATGTTTTTTTTTCTTTTTTATAAAAGAATATTTAGAAAGAAACGATTGAGAAAAAAAATCATTTGTTCTTTAAATTTTAATCAAACGATTCGAAAGATCGAATCCTCATATTCTTTCGAATCGTTAAAACGTTTTTCATCTTTAAATAACGTACAGCTTGGTCGTTTTAAAATAAGCGTGCTTTATTTACGGCGATATTAATCGGATTTCTTCTCGAACTTAATTAACGGATCGTGTTAATTTGCCTCTTGAAAGTCGCGCTCAAGTTTCGACGCGCTAATAGCGATACCGATTGTCATTAAATCTGCCATTATTAGATATTAAAAGCTAACGAGGAGCATGATCTTTTTATAGATTTTCCGGAAGAGTGAGGGAATCTTGATGAAATTTAGAAGAAAACTTTCGAGTTACCACGCGAATAAATATATAATCTATCAATTCTAAATATGGAGTTATGTCCATTTTTAAAATGGTAGAAGAGTTTCTTACTCTCTTTTCACAGAATACAACGCGCCGTCATGAAAATCCGCCGACAATATTAATAAATGAACTTTTACAAACTCCTTCCGAGTTTCGTGAACTTTGGTCACGTTCAAGTTTCCTTTTCCCCTTGCGCGTTGCCAACTTTTCAACAAAGTTTTTTTCGAAAAATCGACGCCTCGCCACGCCACGTCCGCCGCATCAATTTGCACGAACCTCCGCCGAAATTCGACGCGAGTGGCGGCATGTAGCTTCGCGCGAACACGCGTCAACACGCGGAATTCTGTGCCCGAAATCGCGCGCGGATTCGCGTAATCACGCGAATAACCCCGCAATTTTTCAACTCTCAACGGGTTATCGTTCACGTTCCATCGATCCTTTCACACGGGGAAAGGAGTCTCGTCGATGCGACAGCTCTTTCGATTAGCGTGCAATATGCGATCAGTTTCAATCCTTGCTTTTTGTATCGATCAGGCATACAAGAAATCGCTCCACAATTTTTTGTATTCGAAATCTCGTTTCCGAATGCAATTTAAGTTTCTCGACGGGTCTCGTTTCTTTACAAGTTGACAGGCTATTCACGATGATTCGTATACTTTGAATTCTCACGACACTGTATACAATATTTTATTGCTACATAAATCGTTATTTAATGTTTTCATTCGAGTACTCGATAATGTTTAATCGATCAGTGAGGATAACGAATCTAACTCCGAGAATAAAGTCGCATACGAAAAAAAAATCATTTCATATTTTTTTTCATACGACCTAGAAACAACCTCTGCATACTCGTTTATTCATAATCATCACTATTTACTTTTCCCTTACACGAATACTCGTATCGTAACCAATTCTATGTATCGCGCGCGAATATATATACGTATCCTGAAAGAGAAAATTCGATTTATTGATCGACGAGCTCATTACCCCATACAGAGCGCCCCATACTGCATGAGGAAAGTCTCGAGCAACAAGCTGGTCGGAAACGCACAGTTCGAGGGATACAGCGTCGACTTGATTTACGAGATATCGAAGATCCTCGGCTTCAATTACACGTTCCGGCTGGTGCCGGATGAACGTTACGGGTCCTACAACAAAAAGACGAAAGAGTGGGACGGTATGATGAAAGAACTGTTGGATCAGAAGGCGGATCTAGCGATCGCGGATCTGACCATCACGTACGATCGGGAACAGGCGGTCGACTTCACCATGCCGTTCATGAATCTGGGTGAGCAGCGATCTGTTTCATCTACGATTCCCTCTTAACCGCCTCCCCAAATTGGTTTAACGATCGTGTTATCCTATATATACGCGAAAAAGGGTTGATTGGGTTTTTTTTCTTCGTTTGTAAAAAAAAAAAAAAAAAGAAAATAATATTCGTCCTTCTCCGGGGAAAGATTCGATTTTTCGTCCGGATATACGGGGAATTATAAACCAACGGGAGCACGGAATATTGGATAGTTTCTCGATAAAGTTTTTCCAAAGGATTGATGTATTTTAAAATACAATTTCATTGCTCTGTTTTATTTCTCGATACCGTCGAATTAATAATATAAAAAAATTTTGTCGCTGGTTCAACAAAAAGATTTGACACGCGGCAAATTGTGGATCGTTGATAGAACAGTTTTGAAGAATTTTTTTAAATGGAATGAAATAGAATGTATTTTAAAATAAAGTCCAACGTGTTACGTGTCATCGAAATTGGAGCTGTCAAATTGGAGATTAATATGGGAAATTTTACTAGGGGGAGGGGGAGGGATTTGAAAATTATTCCCGATATTTTAAAAATTTCATTTCGAGATAAGTTACCCAATAACGTCTAATAAACGATACATCCATACATTTTTCCCACCTCGCGCTCCAATTTCACGATGGATTTACACATACCGTATGAAATTTTCAGGGATCAGCATATTGTATCGTAAGCCTATAAAGCAGGCACCGAATCTCTTCTCATTCCTCAGCCCGCTCAGCCTCGATGTTTGGATTTATATGGCGACAGCTTATCTAGGCGTATCCGTGCTGCTCTTCATACTAGCCAGGCAAGTGAATCCATTTTACAAAAACTCTGATAAAAATATTCTACCGGCACCGGTGAAATTACGAAAAATCTCTGAACCTTAATATGCTTCCATCGTGTATCGGGTATCCGATTTGCGAAATTTGCCAACTAAAAAATTTCACACGCGAAACACTCGTTCCTCCTGCACCAAATTAATAATCCATCGAGGATTAATTTTTTTTAAACATAATTTTCGTAATCACAATTTTCACAGAAATCTCTTCTACGAATACTACGTTGTTACGTTCCATTTAAAAGATCGAGATTCTCTTAAAAAAAAAAAATATCGTAGAGATTTTTGTTAGATTCGCTTTTTTTTTTGTAACTTTCGTCGAATACCTACCTCTCTCGAAGATAGAGAGAGAGACTCTAATTTCACGGTCGACTGTTCGAGTCGAACACGATAGTCCGGTGACGCGAACAAAAGCAACGTAAGATCAGACAAGCGAAGAAAGGGAGACGTACGTACACGTAACGCGTAGTAGTCGTGCATACGTAGTTACACACGCCGACTTGTCGCATTCCATCCGACCTCTTTTTCCCCGCTGTCGACGCGGTTAATCTTCATACGTAAATGGCGAACGAATCCCGAATGGAAGATAGATGCGCATCCGATCTGAAAAGGATTCAGACTGTTGTCTAGAGTTGATCAGTTTAGATTCACCCCGTACGAGTGGTACAATCCTCATCCGTGCAACAAAAACCCGGACCATCTGGAGAATCGCTTCAAGCTGCTCAACTGCATGTGGTTCACCATCGGATCCTTAATGCGGCAGGGCTCTGACATTCTGCCCAAGTAAGCCGTTAGATTGGCATCACGGTCGCTTCATCATTTTTCTTTGTTTTTTTTCTTTTTTTCTTTCGTTTGTCTCTTTCTTGTTTCAATCGTTCCGTTCTACTTTCGACGCACCTTCTCTCGAAATTTGTTTATCGAACTTGTGTGATTTCGTTGTGTACGACAATCCCGAAATTGTCCTTCGAGGCGGGGAACTGTCGTCGATTGTGCGCAAATTGTGCATGCAAATCGGTATGTAACCGGCGATCCACTTTCGTAACGATTTACTCGTTACGAACGGAACGCAGCACACCAGGGTCCGCCTTGTCTTGCGAACGACCACGAGCGGATGAATTATTCAACGAAACGATTTCGTTGGGACCGCTTTCAGATGTTCCATTGCGAATCGATTGTTTCGGGTTTACGCGATGATTGATCGAGAGATTGATCGAGTCGCGGTGCGTAATATTTCGAGGCGAGAAAATCTTGAAAGAAAGATTTTAGAATATTCTAAAGCGTGTACAGTTACAGTGTAACGAAAACGAAACGAGAGAATAACTTGGCTGCTGACTACGATAAGAAATATAATGCCCGTAATGCGTTAAGAAATAGAAGTCGAGTAAACTTAAAAGTAAGAAGTCGAAGTAACGGTGCTAGAATCTCTTTAGAACGGGAAAGTAGGAATGGAAAGTTTTCATTAAACGGGGAGGGGAGGGGAAAAAATTCGATGTTCTCATTTCTAGGAGATTATATTGCGGAAGGAGATTGTATAGATCGTAGATTGCAAGAAAGTTTGACAATTGTCGCGTAAATTGTTCGAATACACTCTCGAATTTAGCCTCTCCTTACAGAACGTGTGCCTTACAGTGCCTAACTGAATATTACGAATTTATAGATTAACGAGGCAACGATCTTCAGACTCGTAATTACATTTTTCAAAGGCGTAAAAAGAGAATGGCACGTAAGAAATTCTCTTTGAAGAGATACATTTCTCCTTTCGATAATATTATTCTGCTAATTGCTCCTGGATTCGCGAATAACAACGTAATAATTACTGTTAATATTATTTGACGGTAGTAATAATTAATTGTACAATTAACTTAATTTAATTCCGCCGCGTTTATAATTTTAAAAAAATATATGAGATAACGAAAAAATACACGCGATATTCTCTGAAGAGGAAAGTAAAACGAGCCAAAGAAGAAGGAGAATAAAAGCGAGCTTAACTATTTTCCTCGAAATTTTCTAGCATATTGTAATATTCGAAGAGAAAAGAAAAGAAAAAAAATAGAATTGTTTCAAAAATTGAGCGATAGATATTCGAATGGCGAACCGGTGCCGGAAGACCGATCGGACGCGACGAATTTCGGGGTCGCCAGCATCGATTGGATGCTGCTCGAATGGTATTTCGCGCGCGTGCTGCGACTCTGAGGTCTAATCCTCTCCCTTCTCCTTTCACGTGTGTGCAGGTTCAGCCCCTACGAGTGGGAGAATCCCCATCCGTGCAACGGACAATCCGAGGTCCTCGAGAACGAGTTCACCCTGATGAACTCGCTCTGGTTCACCATAGGCTCGCTCATGCAGCAAGGCTCTGATATAGCGCCGAAGTAAGTGAAACGAAGAAAACACGAAGGAAAACCAGCCTTAGCAACGTAATGTTTATCTCTTTGTATTTACGTGTCGTGTTTACAGTGGTTCGATCGATCGTTCCGTACGATTCGTCGTAGAAAACGTTATTATTACGAAACTAATGAAAGATTTAAAGAAAATAACTATTCTCGAAACGTAGTTAATCGTTTATAGTCGTGGAAGTTGTGCTGGATTGCGAGATTACGAGCTTGAAATAATTTTGAAAATAATATTTAGATTGAGCTGGATCGCGACACGTCCTTCCTGCTCGAAACTCGATCCGAAATTGAAACTTGATTCGGCAACGATCGGGCGCGACCCGTCAGAGTTCGGAATTCAGCCGATCGTATTCGATTATTGCCGACTCCGTCCGAAGACAGCCGCTTCTATCTCGTATAGAGTATCGAGCAGGAAACGAGAGAGATACGATTCAGCCCGAATTTACTCGAATTTTCCCGAAGTTCGAATACGCGGAACGATTCGCGGAACACTTTTTTTTAATCGCAATTTCATTTTGCAAGACGATAGAAATTTAGATGGGTTAGGAAAGACGAGATTCGGGGCCGTAGATGTTATCTAACGTTATTGTAACGATAGCCTGGATATGCTATATCGTAGGCTTGCTGCAACCGATTACGAAACTTGCCGCCGTGCTTTGCTATCATTTTAGTATTATGTGTCGTCGACAAAAAGGATTATCATGACGGCGACATTTCGTTTAGCGGAAGTTGTTGCTGGTTTGCTAGGTTACGAGTAAAACTAATATTCGCAGAGTAACCCTTTGAAAGAGCTGATAAGTTGATTATCGATCAAGTATCATGATTTAATTGAAATCGATGATTAATGTATTCGCAAAGGAGAAACGATGAAATTTTGAATCGATAGATACGTAAAATAGAAATTAGATCGGGATTTTAGAGCAGCAACAACTTCGTTTCATTCATCATCCAACACTTTCACCGTTCGTTTGGTGAGAGATCATCGTTCGTTGTCTGTATATTTCCTACGATACGGCCCCTATCCTCGAAACGGTTATTGTAGTCTCTTTTTTTTCATATTTGCATTTAATTATTGTTATGCATATACTAGAATCGAAAGATTATTTAAAATGCATGAAATCGTTGTAGCTGATTGTAGAAGCTTGATGTATATTTATTTCTCGATGTATATTTAGATAAAGTAGATATTCGTCGCGTTCAATTTTATCTCGATGACATTATCGCGATGATTACAAAATAGAATAGAATAAAATCACTGTTACACGTTTGTTTCGAAAGCTGCATACACGACTAATATGTATTTCCAACTTCACAATCGATCCTTTCAAAAGCGATACTTGGAATCACGTTTGGAGAGATCGAGATTCGATCTTGGAGCAAATACACGGTTGTTTTAAATTCATATCAGAGAAACGCGTTTCCGATTGACCCACGTCTCCGAAGGAAATTTCCGATTGCACCGGCTGAATTCTCGTTTCCCAGGGCCGTGTCAACGCGGATAGTGGCGGGTATGTGGTGGTTCTTCACTTTGATCATGATTTCTTCGTACACTGCCAACTTGGCCGCGTTCCTCACCGTCGAGAGGATGGATTCGCCGATCGAGAGCGCCGAGGATCTTGCAAAGCAGACGAAAATCAAATACGGAGCTCTCAAAGGAGGCAGCACGGCGGCCTTTTTCAGGGTAAGATCGGATGAATAACTCACGAGAGTTTTACAGACGACCGCGTAATTGTTTTTTTATCAACACGCTGCCGCTCGTCAATATTCCGATACTCCGATGTATATCACGTTCGTAATGACGATTCTTGAATTGTATCATATAGGAAGAGAACGCGTAGAAAGAATCGATTGGGAATTAAAGTTTACATAATTTTACATAATTGTACAATATTCTACGTTAAATGGAATTTGGATACTTTCGAGCGGTAGTGTTACACGTACGTATACACTATTTCCATTTAGCAAGGAACGTGCGTACATACACGTATCGTAGCACGATAAGGTGGTACAAGAATGTGGAAATTGTATCGGCAAATGCCCCACGGGGGTAGAGAGTGGAGAAACGTAGTTTCGCGAGAAACGAGAAGAAACGCGAGAGGAAGAGCGTGTTGCTTGAGGAAACATGGCGGCCATTACTTAACGCTAATTCCCGTTTAATTTCGGTATTATGAAACTTTATTACAACAGATTACGCCCAAGGAGGAGAAAGAACGGAAGCACCCTCGTTTATATAAATTTGTTCTCTTAACTTTTTATCAACTCGTCTTTGCCTAACTAAAACTAAAAAAAAAAAAAAGAAAAAGAAAAAGAAAACAATACGTAATAATAAACTTGTTCCTCCTACTAAATATCACTTCGTTCGCGCGTAGAGAGAGATCTCGATAAATAAACCTTTCTTTAAAGAATTTTTAAATTAAATACTTTTTAAAATACTACGATTTCCACGCGAAATCGAAGGAATAAATAACGAAGGAATACGGTTAATCTTGGAGGAAAGGCGAGAAAATTGCTATAGTCGTGAATATAAACGAAAATTGCACGCATCGGAGCGTATCGATCGTCGCGATGGGGGAGGGGAGGGGCGACGTGATTTCGTCGAGGAACCGCAGGGAGGCGGTTGCGGGTTGCGTAATAGGCCTCCTTGAAGATTAACCAATTTCGACGTTCCATCGTTTAATGGCACGCGTGCTCGACCATGAAATTCCTCGCGTGATCTAGGATTCCAATTTCTCGACGTACCAGCGCATGTGGTCCTTCATGGATTCGGCAAAGCCGTCGGTATTTACAACGAGCAACGTCGAGGGTATGGAACGAGTGATCAAGGGTAAAGGCAGTTACGCGTTCCTAATGGAATCCACCTCCATCGAATACGTAATCGAGAGAAACTGTGATCTTACCCAAATCGGTGGCCTCTTGGACTCGAAGGGATACGGGATAGCCATGCCCCCGAGTAAGTAATTAACCTATCTCGCCGGCGTATATAAACAGCCAGAACGTACGAAATCGTTGGACGGACGGGTCTGTTAGCAGATTAAAGCGCGGTCGGGGTAGTTCATCGAGGAGATAGAGCTGTATTTCGCGTATATTCTTGATTTATGGTCCGCTCGTGAACGGCGTCGAATCGGAAAGATTATTTTTTTCACGGTTCGTTCCATAGATTTATAGGGGAATTAGAAAGATATCGGTCAGAGTTCGTAGTTCGTACAAGTTTCTGCCATTTAAATACAACGAACGCGAGATACGAGCAAGCAATAATAATGTTGTCGATGGATTTTCAAAAGGAATTTTGACAGATCGCGATTAATTTCTATCTTGGAAATCTATCTGATATGTTTTGTTCGCGAATTTCATCGGATTCGTAAGTCGTAGATGCAAAAAAAAATCTCAAAAATTCGAGAAAGTTTCGTTGTTGCAAGAAAATCCAATAGAATTCGATCGATCGAAATCGAACGGTCTCGCGAGGATACGAGGAACGACAAGAGTTGAAAGGAAACTTGGCGAAAAGTTTTCACACCCGCGATAAAAACAAGTTTGGCGTTGCTCAAAACGACCTTGGAACTTCAGATTCACCGTACAGAACGGCCATAAGCGGAGCCATACTGAAGCTGCAGGAAGAGGGGAAGTTACATTTGCTGAAGACTCGGTGGTGGAAGGAGAAACGTGGCGGAGGATCTTGTAGGGTGAGCATGCAAACACTGATCCTCTCTACTCTTTTACACGAGTCGCAGAAATGCACTCGATCAAACATATCCACCAAATTCTCCGATATCCCCTCTAATGTGTATTTTTGCCTCGAGTTTCCACCCCAACAAGTACGAGCCTCGAAAAAAAAAAAAAAGATGGACAGTCATTCCGCAAAAAGATTGTTAAATCATGGCCTCGGTACTGGTGACGCGCCTCTTATCTACCTGTATTATTCCGGATGAATTCCCGCGACTGTTCGTCGTTGGAATTTCTCGTCCAAAACCACCACCAGGCTTTGGATGGAATGACTTGGAATGGAACTCGTTATGCCTGTTGTTTGAAGAATGTAAAAGAAAAAAAAAAAAAATCTCTCTCCTTATTTTTCGTCTCGTAGAGATTTGAAAAGTTGCGCGGTTACTTTTTAAAAGAAGAAAAAAAGTCTCGTCGGCATTTCTCTAGAATCCTCGATGTTCTCTAGAGTGCTCGATTGTTTTTAAAAATCGGAATTTTTTCTCTCTCTCTCACAACAACAAGACTCTCATCTCCCCTTCTCCCTTTCCCCATTTTCTCCTTTCGAAATTCGACCGATACTCCATCTATCAAAAAAAATTCTATAAATTTTTGATAAGAAACTGAAAAATGTGAGAAAAACAAAAAAAAAAAAAACCAAAAATCTCTGTTCTGCCAACAGGACGATATCTCGAAGAGCAGCTCGACGGCGAACGAGCTGGGATTGGCGAACGTCGGCGGCGTGTTCGTGGTGCTGATGGGCGGTATGGGGATCGCTTGCGTGATCGCGGTATGCGAGTTCGTCTGGAAAAGCCGGAAGGTCGCCATCGAGGAACGGGTGAGTGAGGTCAGATAGCACGTCGAAGAGGGCGTGATCGCGCCTGAAGTAACGTCGTCTAACACGCACCTCGATCCCGACGCGATCTACCCAGACATGCCGCGCGAATACATCAGTTGATGTTCGCGCGATGGTGGAGTTCCTCTTTAATGGTCACGGTGCACCCACAAAACCACTCGGGTCTGATTCGTCTTTCTCGCTCGCGTGCGTACGCGTGTGTGCGATCGATGGAGTCACGATGGGAGGGGTCGAAAAAAAATCGAGCAGAATTTTCCGCGAAAAGCTGGTTCTTGTTGGAATCGTAACTGGGTTGCGGGTTAATTCGCGTTTCCGTCCTTCGTTCTTCGTCATCTTATGGATATGAAAGAAATGTGAAAAGATAGCGAGACAAGTGGAGGGGGATATTGGGATGGAAAATTTTTTTGTTCCAGAGTAATTGTTCTTGCTTCGATCCTCTTATAAATCGAGGATACGATGAAAAATTCGAAGTTTTCGATGATGTTTGTATATATGTATATATATATATTTTTTTTTATTTTTTTTTTCTTATCGAGGAATATATGGAATGATATGATCAGATAATGGTGTTGTTCAATTCGAATCCGAGGTAGTTGAACGGTTGGAATTGGATATTCGAGTTACGATTCGAGGAAATGGAAATTGAAGGGTAGAAATGGGGTTACGCAGAGTGTATTTTATGGTTACGAAATGAAAACGCAATTCGTGTGTGATAAATAGGTATCGAAGATTTCGATTATAACGGTGTCCGTGATATTTCAATGGGCGATTGTTATTGGCTAAATGAATTACGTGTAACGAAAATTATGAAAACAGTATAATGATCACAGCGATCTCAGGGCGCTTGAGAATTTTATTATTTCCCGTGAAATAAAGAGGAAATTCGTATACGAGGAATAAAATTCGAATAAATACAAAATATGTACAATTTAACTAAACAGTCTAAACTCTCGTTTTACGAAGACAAAAGTAAGAAAAACCCATTGGTGTTAATTTATTGTAAAACAATAAAGATTAAAAAAATATATATATATATTTCGATTCATCCATATTCAACTTTACCAATGAATATCGCAACGCAATTTTCCAATCTCGATTTTCTCAAAAACTAGACCTCGTACAAAAAAATTTCGTTCAATTTTTTTCAATTTATTCTCTAGAAAAAAAAAAAAAAATCCCATCGTGTCTATTTTCACACGTCATTCACGCGATCGCGCATTTCCGCATCTCAACCTCTTTCCTCAATAGACGAAATCACGAATAGAATTCGAATCGCCATTAGATTAAAAAGGGAGGAAAAATTCCACGGGATCCGATGATGATGAAATTAAGACACGGCTCGTAGAAACTCGAGCGCGAAAACCTGGTACGGAATCTCGCGTGTCTACAATATGTATTCGAGCTGCCGTTTGCGTACGTTCAAGCGGTAGGCAAACAGGCAAGTATTTGAGAAGGACTCGTCCACAAATACGGATATGCAGGTTTGCGCCGGTGACCTCGTGTACTCGTAAGCAAACAATTCCATCAACCGGCAAACGTCTGGTATTGCTGTACTCCTTTGGAGCCCGCGCTACTTCAGAGTAGTAGCAGCAGAATAGTAGCCGCGATACTCCAACCCCGAATAACCCTGAGCTGCTAACAGAAAAGGGCGCGAACGCGAGTCGAGGATCTTAATTGGTCTCTTTGTTGATCGCCTCGAGAAAAATTTTTTGAATCCAATTTATCGTTCGCCTATCTATTATTTCTATTGTTAATTAATTTCGCTTCCGAATAATATTCAATTTTTGTTTATTAGACGGAAAAATCGTTTCATCCATCGTTCGATCCATCGTAGTATATCCTTTTTTTCAAATTCATTTTTTCTCCTCCCAGAGGAAAGGAAATGTTTCGACGCGATTTAATCGATTAGATATCATCTGAGAACGCAATCTTACCCGAGTATTTTCGTGTTCTGTTTTAGAAGCAGAAATCCTCGGGGAAACCGATCTGCGAAGCTTTTACCGATCTACACTAGCGGACGTACTTGTAGGGGTACGGTTGATTTGAACCAAAATAACAAACAAAAAAAAATATATATATATATATTATATATATTTAAAAAAAAAAGGGAGTGAGAAACGAAACGATAGAGAAAGAAACAGGCACACCCAAAACTGATTCCTATGCCCGAGAAAAGCGTATCTGACCCGACGGACCTAAGGAGGAACTCCACCACCAGTGATCGAGAAAATTGTGTGAGAACATTGACAGAAACAAACTGTAAAAAAGTTGAAACGAAACGAAATAATCAAAAAAACAAAAAACAAAAAAAAAAAGAAGGAGCAACGATCCTCGACCTTTCCAGTTTTTTTCTCTTACCCCCATCTCGAAAATCTCGACAATCTAAATGTTATGGAACACTAGCCAATCGATATATATTATCGAATACGGTGTCGTTGGAATTTCATTAAGCAGAGAGAAAGAGAGAGAGAGAGAGAGAGAGGAGGAATGAGATCAAAACGATAAGGAAGGAAAAAAAGGGAACGGAAAGAAGAAGAAAGAGAAGAGAATTCGAAAAGAACGTTTGATTTGGAAAAAAAAAAAAAGAAAGATCGTTTTCTTTTCGTCCGCAACCTCCCCTAATTAACGATGGTGAAATGGTGCAGATATTGAAATTGGAAAGGTCAACGCGTTTGCCATTTGCTCATATCAAACCTTTTTAGATTAATTGACGACCGACTTGAAGCCTCGCAGCGAGATGGAAATGGTATCTCGGACGGATTGTTGAATGAAAGGGCAAAAAAGAAAGAAAAAGGATAGCAAAAAAATTATAGACGCGGCGTGGCTTCTTTTTTTTTTCCTTTTCTAATGGACTCTCGCCGCGATCGCGACTGAATCATCGTGCTATTACACAGTAACGAACTATTTACACACGAACAATCACCGATTTTATACCGACTAGATTAATTAATGTATAGCGTCAGATTGATAACATTTTATTGTATGTACATATTGCGTAGCTCAAAGGAGTGAATCGATGCTTCGCGAGGGAGCGTGCACGCTTATTTCTAAACGAGGGACGAAACGAGAATAATAAAAGATACGTAAGCAGAAGTGAAATATGATGGAACGGCGAGCCTGAATATCGAATTAAATGGTGTATATAAGAAAATTTTTCCAATGCACACCGGAAGCAAGCCTGCACACTCCTCGGTGATTGAGGATAAACTCCGTTATTTGCGATAGACGATATTCTATATGTCTCGATTCGTATATAAAAAAAAGAAAGAAAGAAAGAAAAAAAAAAAAACTTTGTACGATAAAAGAAACGATAGGAAAAGAGTACACAAAAAAAAGTGATCGCAATCGATACGTAGGTGTTAAAGAACGTTAAACATGTTTTTTGGAAAGGATACGCGCACGACGTGTGACAGTTTAGTATGACATTGTTAGTTGTGTCGCAATGTTTCTTGCCTCTCTTTCTCTCCCGCCATTGGATACGCAGGAGGTGAGCAACTCTTTTCTACTATTGTCTCTATCTCTGCTACTCGTTGTGTCACAGCACTGGTCCGATCGACGGATGATCGTAGAGCATGAGATATATTTTTTCCCGAACGAACGATACTTTTTTTTTTTTTTTTGTCGCGTTCG